GTGTGGACAGTGTCTTCAGTCAGTGTGGACAGTGTCTTCAGTCTGTGGACAGACCAGAACATTTCTTCTTCTTCTTTCGTCAAAATAGAAAAGTGATAGTTTCGGACAGAGACAAACGTTCTCAGGGTCCTCTGATGGCTGTCATGGCGACGACATTCATAGAATCACTTCCTCTTTAGAAAGTTTTCGACAAAGTAAAAGCACATTTGTTTTGTTGCCTCAACGCTTCTGGAGCTGAATTACAGAGCTTTTATTTTGACAGGTTGTGAACTTGGGTGTGAAGATTGAGTCGTTCAGTGAAACATTCCGACTTAAATCAAATCCTCACAGAGAAGATCAAGAAACTTCAGTTTCATCTGACTCCAGAACACGAGATCTCCAGTGCAGATAAACCAGGTAGGATGAACACAAAGTGTTCTAGCTTCCCTCTGCACACAAACTCTAACAAGAGACAGCTTAAGTGACAAACTTCTTCTTCGTTGGTGTCACCCACCAATTAACCAGACAAAGAAGAAGTTTGTCACTAAATTCACTTAATAAAAAGAAAAACGAGGTTTGACTCTTGAACCAGTGCAGCTTCTGTAATGTGGTTTTATTATATGATATATTAAAGGTGTGTGTACTTTATACTACAATATCTATATTACACTATGTAGTAAACCTATCCATTATATTATATAGTACACACACCTTGAATATGTAATATAATATTAATATACTATAATATTAGGTGTGTGTACTATATACTAGAATAGAATAGAAATATAATAGAATGATTCCTTGTCCTCAAACATATCATAATAATATTATATTCTGTCACTTGTTAAAGTTGAGTGTTTTAGAAACTGGTTCAGAGTGAAGTCAGAAACTTTGTGTTCATCCTCCCTGGTTTCTCTGCAGGTTTGAGATGGAGCTGAATTTTCTTTATCTCTGATCAGATTTATTTTTCTCTCTCTTCTGTTCGCCCCATGAATAAAATGGCAGTGCGCGGAGCAGCCAGTGCGCATGCTCAGCGCACCTCTGCGGGGCAGGGCAGGTATCAGTGCGCCGCCTGGAGACGGACTCAGTCCAGCGGGCAACAGGAGACGCAGGGAGACGCCGACTGATCCGAGTCCTGCGGTCGCCACGTTCAGCGCTCTCTGCTCGGCTGCAGCTCGGAGGATCCGTGCGCTCTCCCCGGAGACTTTGACAGGAGTTGGTTCGGTTGTGGAGCGGAGAGGAGCGGAGCTTAGAGCCGACACAGACACCGCCCCGGACCCAGGTGAGAGGGAACTTCAGCCGCCTCCAGGTGCGAAGGACCGGGATTGGTGCAGGGTTTTACGCACGGGCGGACACCGGGGAGCGGCATGTCTCTCCGGGGGCAGCTGGCTCTCTGAGTCCGAGGAAGTGGACGCAGAGTTTGTATCATCGTCCCCGTGTTCTCCGTGTTCAGCTCCAGGTTCTTTACGATGTTTCAGCACAGCAGCCACAAGAAATGTTTCACCATCGAGTCTCTGGTCGGGAAGGAGGCGAACGGCCACGGCGGCGGCTCCGGGGATGAGCCCATCCGGCCCACGGCGCTCAGGTTCCCGGAGTCCCTGCACCCCACGGCCGGGATCTTCGGCTCCTGCTTCCAGGGAGGCAGCGGCAGGACTTTGTATTCGGCCGGGCCGGACATGGTGCTCCAGGAGCCCGGGGCGCACACGCAGAGCCCCGGTGGTCTGCCGCTGCACCCGCTGCAGATCCCCCCGCAGAGCTTCTTCAGCCCGCAGCACCGGGACGCGCTCAGCTTCTACCCCTGGGTCCTGAGGAGCCGGTACCTGGGCCACCGCTTCCAAGGTGAGGGGGGGGGGGGTCATTTAGTTTCGAACGGTTCATTCTTTGATTTGATGTGTTTTCATTTCTGTCACTGATTAAAAATACTTTTCATCCTTTATTATCATTTCTTCACGATTTGTGTTGAACATTTTCTTCGGACCGTGTGAGACATTTAAATTAAACAGTTCTTCTATCATGAGAAGATCATGAGAAGATCCTGAGAAGATCATGAGAAGATCATGAGAAGATCATCTCCTCATATTGAATCAACAGGATTAAAGATTCTCAGGGTTCTGCAGATCAACAGCTAATTATAATATAAAGTTTCCTTCTTTCATATTCACTCTGGATTTATTGATGGAGCCTGTTCATCGCGGATGGTTTGATTTATTCTGAGGCCTCGTGTTTTTCATTTTCCGTTAAATTCCGGTGAATCGTGGATTTAAACACGTGTGAAGGTGAAACCAGGTCAAACAGCAAATTACAC